TCACTGAATTATCTGGTCCAGACTCAATTATTTACAAACCGCCATCGTATATATGGAATATTGCCGAGTGCGGCGTTAAAGAATTAACAAACTAACAAACTATGGTCCATGTTGTGTGTTAACGTCCGCTACAACCTGACCATGATATTTTCTTTTCTTTTCTGTTATGAAACCTAAACGTACCTCGTGTCAGTGGTAGGTTAAAAAACGTTACACAATTTCAAGGTCATGCAGAAAAGATAAAGGACAAGACACATTGTCAATTTTTTTTTTCTTCGCCGTGTCATTCAGACTGAATTGTTTTACAACATGTCCAGGGCTTTCAATTGTTGTCCCTTTTATATATGAACACTCATGTGTACAGTCTGGACAAGGAGTTATTGTCCGAGAGAATATTGCTGTGAGCATGTTGACCTCAGTTAATAGTGTAACATTTACATGATTAAGGTATGGGTTGGGCAATTGAAATTACTCATTGCTCTAAGTGTCTTTGAAATTGTGTTGGTGTGACCTGTGTAGTATTGAGAACATTGGCCTTTTGCCATGTAATGAATTATGGACCTGGCTGTTTTCTTTCGCGGCCGTCGTTTTTATACAAAACGTATTTATAGCTAGCCTTTGTCCTTTTTTTCGTGAACCAACGTGAGTGAGTTTCTGATTTACGTCACATCGGCATTATTTCAGCCATATCGTGACGAGAAGTTATTCATTAAGAATACATATCTTTAAACTAAATAAAAACCTGTCATCGATGGACAGTAAAATTACTAGAATATCACAGAGTAACAGTTAAAACTAGCAGATAAACATAAAAAGAAATCACTATATGTTACAATACAATATAAAATAGGGCTATAGATCGCCAGCATCTGAAGGTAGATCACCATGCTAGGGTCCATGGGGACTTACAATACCTTTGCTACCTGCATGGACCCCAGCAGGATTTACATCATCCCTTCAGGTGTTGGCGATTATTGACAAAATTAGCCAAATTAAAAGAACACATATTCTACGATTAAAACTGTAGTCGGAATAACACATTTGAATGATATGGACTTACGATACCCTCTCAGGGGGAGAGTAACTTTACACTACTTTAACCCCCTTTGAGGATACAGCCACGATCTATCACAGATATTGATTTATTCCACTAATGCTAAAAAGTCATTTATTTTATTTATACAAAGCAAATTAACAAAATTTATTGAACAACTCTATTTCTTTTAATAAGCCAATAATTAAATGAGAACTAATAGTGTTAACAAGATCCTTCATAGATTTAACCACAGGAGTCCGTATCTAAAAATAGACGCCCTCATGCATATTCATGACCATCTCCAGACGCGAGCCCGAAGGGGCTCGCGTGTGGAGATGGTCATGAAGGGGCTCGCGTGTGGAGATGGTCATGAATATGCATGAGGGCGTCTATTTTTAGATACGGACTCCTGTGATTTAACCTTGAAATATTTATCCCTTGTGATGGAAAAATCAACACAGTCAAGCAGGACATGCTTGACCGTGATTCTTTCATCACAAGGGATGCAGAACGGAGGATCCTCACCTTTCAAAAAATATTCATTGGTGTAACGCGAATGGCCAAATACGACATCGTCGTAAAATGACCTCTTCAAATCTGGACTGACAAACCAAGTAGGTGTAACCGATATTTGGTTTGATGTCATGTCATTTATTGATACCTACTTTGGCAATTTAGTGCTTGGTACTGATGCAATATATATTGCGTGGATATTCTGTTAACGGATTTAGCAACGATGAACTTAAAAAGGAAACTAATTTGAATATCATCAATGATATTTTATTCGTAACTGATTGAAAGGTCTGACATGACTTCTTTTGCTACATCAAGATTGATTCTTGGAACACTCTAAGATGTCATGACTTGAAACTGTACCTTTATTCTTTAATTGATTGCTAGATGATGTTCCGGGAATAAAAGTGACAAAACCCTTTCCATGATCATAAGACATAAGACAGTGACTGATTATGTTGGTGAGTGATTGAGTGAGCGAGCTGGTCCTAACGCAGCTTTGAACCATGACGTGTCCTAGCTCACTGTTCCAGGTAAGCCCAAAGTGAAGCAGGTTATACGTGTTTTCCAAAGACAAGCCGTTGAGCCAGCCCGTACTGGTGCAGCCACGTCAAGGAGTAGGTTCTAATCCAACACGAGCGTTGTCCAGGCAGTAACCAGTGCATGATTCTACGCTTATTTACACGCTGCTTCACTCACCACATCACTGAAAAGCTTTAAACAGACGCATTGGAGTTATCACAACAGGTTATGGAACATCTGCTTTGGCATAACCAACAGTTCATTTTCACTACAGGAGGATTAAATCAAAGAAGACTTCTTGCCATGTCGTTCTCTTGTTTCAGCTAGCTTCAGCTGTGTGACGCCCGGAGAATTACATCATTGCATGCTTGCCGACATGATTGAGAACATTAATCATAAGTTTGTTTGTTTGGTTGGTTGTTAACGCCGCACTCAGCAATATTCCAGCTAAATGACGGCGGTCTGTTAAATAACCGAGTCTGGACCAGACAATCCAGTGATTAACCCATCCTTGCGTTAAAGGCGACTATGCTTGTCGTAAAAGGCGACTAACGGGATCGGGTGGTAAGGCTCGCTGACTTGGTTGTTGCATGTCATCGATTCCAATTGCGTGGATCGATGCTCATGATATCATGCTCATGTTATCAATCACTGGATTGTCTGGTCCAGATTTGGTTTGTTGTTTAACGCCGCACTCAGCAATATTCCAGCTATATGACGGCAGTCTGTAAATAATCGAGTCTGAAAAATCGAGAAATTGTTATCAACTGAAAGATGAGCGTAATTACGTCCTGAGGGTGGCGAGTTTATTTAGAGTGCGGAGAAACAAGCACAGAGTAACAGAACATATCACATAAGGTTTGCATTGGCTGGAATGGGTTGCAAAAAGATCGAGACTGTCACTCCAGCATCTGAAGATGGATGATTTGTTGTTTAACGCCGCACTCAGCAATATTCCAGCTATATGACGGCGGTCTGTAAATAATCGAGTCTGGACCAGACAATCCAGTGATTGATATCGTGAGCATCGATCCACGCAATTGGGATACGATAACATGCATCAACCAAGTTAGCGAGCCCGACCACCCGATCCTGTTATTCGCCTTTTACGGCAAGCATGGGTAGCTGAAGACCTATTCTACCCCGGATCTTCACGGATCTCATAAAGCTGGAATATTGCTGAGTGCGGCGTTAAACAACCAACCAATCATGCAACTACCAACCATATTGCCCAGAAAGCATTCAATGGCTAGCTGTTATTGCAAATGGAGAGGGTAGAAGTATTTATTTCAAGTTTATACCATCTCAGTGCATGGCGCGCGGGTCATCCATGAATCTAAAGAAAGTAATCAAGTCCCATGCATAATCTGGCCAGTTCAGCCTCCCGATATTAACGTAATCGAAAATGTTTGGTTGTACATCAAAAGAAGGATTCGGTCTCCTGTACGTTTGATTACATCGGGCATCGAACGGTTCACGGAAATCCGGGAGGCCATTTCCACCTGAATGTGTTCGGTCGCTGTGGTCTTCAATCCCAATATGTGCGATGAAAGTAATTAGCGTCAAAGGACGGCTTACACAATATTATTTATGTGTACCTTTCTGTGATCCTGAAATTACCAGTGCGAGAACGAAGATCACAAGGTTCTTAATTGTGTCCCGATATTGCGGCGGGCAATTTTACTCAGTACCTTATACTTGGTTTTACCGACTTACTAGAGAAAACAATATTGAATATAACAGTACAGGCTATATAGTTATAAATCAAATGTCTGTTTCGCGATGTTTTCAAATAAAGTCATTTCAATATTTATCTGAAATGCAATCACTGGATTGTCTGGTCCAGACTCAATTATTTACCCGCACTCAGCTATATTCCAGCTAGATCTATATTATATGATGGCGGTCTGTAAATAATCGAGTCTCGACCATACAATCCAGTGATTAGTATCATGAGCATCCACGCAATTGGGATCGATGACATGCATCAACCAAGTCAGCAAGTCGGCAGCATGGGTACTGAAGACCTATTCTACCCCGGAACCTTAAGAGATAGGCACTTGGGTCGCTTTGTCATTAGCAAAAATGGTTAAATGTGAAATTAACACACAAGCCCTTTCTCTGTAAAAAAAATAAAATTACTAAGTTTTCATAAGTATCTCTTTGATAAGCCAACTTTAGTTTCTAAGAAACCTCCCCCTTCCCCCCCCCCCCCCCCCCCCCCCATTAAACACAGGGCACCGAGCAAAATAACATCGATCAAGAGACGTAACTGTCAAAAGAATTTACGGGACCAATTTCTAACTCGTCTTGACAATTATCTCTTGGTCAAGCATGCAAACTTTCATTCAGGCAAGACCCGTGAAGATTCCAGGGGTAGAATAGGTCTTCAGCAACCCATACTTGCCGTAAAAAGGCGACTAACTGGATCGGTTGGTCAGGCTCGCTGACTTGGTCGATACATGTAATCGGTCCCAATTGCGTGGATCGATGCTCATGATAATAATCACTGGATTGTCTGGTCCAGACTCGATTATTTACAGACCGCCGTCATATAGCTGGAATATTGCCGAGTGCGGCGTTAAACAACAAACAGGGCAACAAGTGAAAATACGATTACCAATTTTCGAACTAACGAGGCCATGAGCAGGAAAATCTGTAAAATTTCATTTCTGACTAAAATTAGTCAGATATTTGTCCCCTTCGATGTTTTTTTTTACTCTGTCAACCCTAGTCATTTTTATTTCCCTTGGTACACCCAAGTTTCCACAGGCATTGAATGTGTTCACCAAGTGAAAATTACCTCCGTCTCTTTAAACAGTTCAGGTATTATTGTAACAGATAAATGCGATAACAAGTGTTACGTGTGGTATGAACGGCAGGGGTTCCCGCTAATACCACTAATAACAATTACGAGAATCAAACGATATGAAGTTTAAAGCTAGATTTAATAATTAAAACAAAGATAAGTATATAACAATTCTCAGTTACTGGGCAAGGCACTCATACACATCTATTTAGGCAAAGCAATATGGCAAATGTGCAATATAGATAATAGTCACCTCAGATTTGACACCACATTTCCAATGAATTCCATTTCACATTGTTCAAACTTATATTATCTCAGTTCACAGGATAACAACAGTTTCCTCCTTCGAAGCGTCGACATGACCTAACTTTGTCTCCGGACATAACGCAGGGCTGAACTGCCCTCGTTCAGTTAAACCATATTTCTCCCTCTGCCAATTATTTTTCCTTCCCCTTTCTGTTAGATAACTTGCCCTCACATGGTAAACAAATTTCCAAGTAAGCTATCTACTTCAGCACACAACAAAAAGGTTGATCGGCCCACACCAATCAGTTACCAAGCACGTTTCTCCGTCAGGCAGCTTGCTTGACTCAATCAAGCATGACGCCGTCCACCCAAACTGGACCCCTTGTGAACCACACAAATATACAAAATCAATACAAGGAATAAATAGGTCTTCTGGATCTAATCTTCTGATCTTCGGGCAGCAGGAACGTTAGCGACCCAGGTGTTGCACGGGTGAGAACCAATATGGAGGTGTGGAAATGCTTCACCTGAAACAATAAAATATTTGTCAAGTAATACTTGTATGGTTTGTGGTATGACTGCTATTTTACCTTTGTAATATTTTCCAATGGAACAGAACAGGTGTAAGGGGTGCTGCTTCCTACTCGAGGTACACTCGTTTGCCAAGGTAAGTAAATGAGAAATAATACAAAAGGCTGAAATAAATTAGTATATATCATAAAATATAAAGACAAGGATTTAATAAATTTTCCATCACTACATGGCACAGCTGCAGATTAAAGGAGCTTGATTGGCAGGTGAGATGTTGAAAGTTGATCATATCTTTGATGTGGCAGTTTTCTTCACCTGAAAATATAAAACGTTTTCAGTTTTTTTCTTGATGAAAAGTTGAAATATGAATGCTTTTTAAGTGATATGAATGTTATATTTGTTCCAAGAATACAATAGTTCATATTTTCCAGCAGCAACACCTCAAAACAGATCGTATTGTCTCGCTAACCAAGATTAAGTGAAAAAAGACAAACAATCCAAAATAAATTAGTTTATTATGAAATATACATAGGCAATGGAAATAAATGTGTTTTCCAACACTAGATGGCATAGGCGACTGTAGGAACTGGATTGACAGTTGATTATACCCCTTTGGCGAGGCAGTCACCTAAACAAACAAAAAATTAACACTTCGATGAGTAATTGGTTTTACAATTTTGTATTCGAGGTCAGGTAGAGTATAACTATTTACGAAACATACCACCCCCGATGCTTGCCTCAGGATTACGTTTTATACACCAAAATAAATTGAAAAGTGAGACTCATGCCGAGTTCTAAAAAAAAAAAAAAAAAAAAATTAGCATCCAAGAAAACAAAATGAATACAATATATATATATATATATATATATATATATATATACAGAATAAATGCAGTGTCATATATACACACAAAGACTTCTAATTTGCATAAATAAATGTGATAACAGAAACAAAGTGTAAATATTAAAATAGTATGCATAAAGTGAATAAACACTGTCAACTTTACTGGTGGGGGGGAAAAACAACAAAACGTGAAAGTTTCCAATTTTTTATTGCATACAAAACTTTTCAGGATGTTTATGGATTACTGGAACTGGCGACGGCTCTGGAGATACCTGGAAATATAGAAACATGTTTCCTGGCCGGGTATACGTGCCATGCCTGCATCTGCAAGTGCGAGGCAAATATTATGTATAAGTAATTATGGCAGCTGCAAATCAAATTCTGAAGATGGCAATTTAAGAACACGAACCCGCTACGCCTACGTGACCCATAATTTATAAATATGTATACAAATGGAAATTCTAAGTTTTGGATTTTTTGTGTGATGAAAGTAAATACTAACCAACCATATTAGGTTTTGTTTTACAGACTACTGAACCACGAATGTCATGTATTCCATTTGAGTAATAAGTTCTCTCGAGTCAAGAAAAGACATGAATGTTTAATTCATCAAAACGTTTCTGAATAACACATGAGAAGAGCACTGAACTAACTTTCAGGGAAACATTAAACTGGTGACGGTCTATGAATTAGCACGAACTGATATTCGGGCGCACAGAGAACAAAACACAGACATGCCTTGCATGTCAAGTACACATGAACATACATCAATACAACCAGGCATACTGGCCTCCTCACCACGTCACACAGACGTAAATACACACAAAACAATATTCATTCCGAACAGCAGGAGCAATATCTCCAAAACAACGGGATTTCGTCCCGAACACCAGGAGCTCACATCCAAGCAAACATCTCTGAACGTAACTACCGCATACACAGGAAATGGGCGTTTCTGAAATAGAAACCAAGGAAGAAATCAACACCACATTTAATACCACACACCTTTTAAAATATATAATTAATCTGCACTCGTGCCTTAACACGCATATACCTATGTACACCCAAAGTCACCCAATACACATTACTTACCTCACAATAGCAGCACTTGCCTTCTCATCGGCTACCCGTTCCAGAACAGGGTTTGGGACATACTGTACCCTTACAGAGGCTCCAAACACACGCCAAGCTGGATACTGCCATACCATCATCTACATCAATAATGCGTGTACGGTAGTGAACTAAATAATTTACATATACAAACCACACACTAAAAATGACCTAAAAACACTCACCTTAATTCATCTTTAAAAGTTAGTACTCACCAATAACTGGATAATCCATCCATCCATCCATCCATCCATCCAACAGCTTTTTAATCTGTACTCCAACTTCCCTGCTACCAACCTCTTGGCCTGATGATGGTTGAAAAGGCCGGGCCGTCCGAGACGCTCGCTTATAAACGGGTAGGATGCACGTGCGCGCTCGTGCAGTTAGCACATCACCACCATCTGGTTTGCCTGCTACGGCCTGCCTACTACTAGGTTCTAAAATACAGAGCTGAAATATTCATTTCAGTTTGTGATCGTGAGACACACACACACACACACACATATATATATATATATATATGATCCAATTGCAGAAGAGAGTGCTCAATACAAAGTAGAGCATAAATACAGATTTGAATACACTTTCCTTATATCATTTTGCAACTCTTAGTTTCACGCACCCATGGCATTGCGTACGATGATCAGGCATAATGAAACATGGTTTTTAGAAAGGGTCAAACTAAAAACCATGTTTTATTACGCCTGATGATCGTACCATGGGTGCGTGAAACTCAGAGTTGCAAAATGATATAAGGAAAGTGTATTCAAATCTGTGTATATATATACATACATACATCTTCATGGACGGAAAACGTATCGCATTCAAAACTGATGTCACCAGGACTGGAATAACGACTAAATGTAAAACTTGGATGCTGCACTATTCTACGCTATTGGAATGGACTGAGGTTATCACGGACATTAGCGCCAATGCTGCACTTTAGTGTGGTAGTTCATGTAGCATGATTTGGAGGGATTCACACACAGATTAATTGATGATTTGGCTCGCTTACATGGATTGTCAGCATATTTTGTACCTGGATGCTGAACTGGAAATACCTTGTGCATCTTTTCACAAACCACACACCAAGTGTCATTGCTACCTGTAGGCACTGGCCAGTGACCATTACCATCTAAGCGCTCCTGCTCCAACGATGTCACTGATCTTGATCGAGTGGGGCGGTCGGGTAGCCTTGTGGTTAAAGCGTTCGCTCGTCACACCGAAGACCCGGGTTCGATTCCCGACATGGGTACAATATTTATGTGTGACGCCCATTTCTGGAGTCCCCCCCTAAAAGCTGGGTAAAACCATACTCACTCACTCCTTTTTTCTTTTTGTTGTTGTTGTTAAACGCTGCACTCAGCATATTCCAGCTACTTCCTGTCCTGACGAAACACACCAATCAGTTGATGCAGCAGCTCACGCCTGAATGACAGCATATCACGCTTGCGTTTCCCATCAGGTGTGTGGTTGATGAATGTACCGTCATGAGATAAGTATTGTATAACGTATAGTTTGGTCAAGCCTGTCCACCCCGTCCATATTCCCATTTAGTGCTCTACACTAAATGCGTTTATTGAAATCCGCTCAACCATCTTCTTTAACATTTTCTGTTTATACTTTTCCCTTGTTTACAATATGACATCATTGTCCCGCCATCTCCTTTCAGGTGACGTCACAACGTCTAACCCCGTAACTGGTGACGTCATCACTTGCTATCTTTTGCCTTTCGCTGCTCTTGGTTGCTGCCCTATCTTTAGCTTTCACAGTTCAATTTTAACGTCGCATCCATTGGTTGGTTGGTTTGTAGTTTAACACCGGGTGGTCAGGCTCGCTGACTTGGTTGATACATGTCATGTCATCGATCCCAATTGCGTGGATCGATGCTCATGATGTCAATCACTGGATTTTCTGGTCCAGAGTCGATTATTTTACAGACCGCAGTCATATAGCTGGAATATTGCTGAGTTTCGGCGTAAACAAACAACAAACCCAATTGCGTAGATCGATGCATATGATGTCAATCAATGGATTGTCTGGTCCAGACTAGATTATTTAAAAACAAACAAACAGACCGCCGTCATATTGCTGAGTACGGCGTAAAACAACAAACAAAAAAACCGTTTTAGGGTACTCTCAATAATTTGGAAGCAGGTTTTGTCAGCAAACCATTGACATTTCGTGTAGATTGAGCAATTTTTTTAGACATACTCATCATAACTTGATTCAGTGGAAGTTCGATTTCTTCCCTTCAATCTGTACTTTGACCAAAGATTTATTGTGCCCAGCCTTTTCATAATTCGCCTCAGTCATGTCAACTGTTGTTCCCCCCTCGGATACTAGATCATTTATCTGGTAAAACAAATGTAGAAAAATACGGTAATATCTTGAATAAATGACCATTCTGTTTGAACTTTGTATCGTCCAAATATCCAGGTTTGTAATAAATATTATTGGATATTTTCAATATTTTAAGGATCATTTTCCATTCTTTTTCTGTATGTGGCAGCTTCTGTTAATCGTTGATTCATCTGCACCATTTCTTCAAAGGACTCCATGCATTGAAACAACACTTCATCAGCATCTTCTTCTCCATAGCCATTACGCCCTGCCATGTACCTCAAAATGGCTAGTCCTTATTGATTCTCAATCAGTGTGACAAGTTTCCGCAGCACACTTACTCGACCCGACCCGACCCGTGAAGACCCGGGGTAGAATATAGGTCTTCATCAACCCATGCATGCCATAAAAGGCGACTATGCTTGTCGTAAGAGGCGACTAACGGGGCTTGGTTGAAGCATGTCATCAATCCAAATTGCGTGGATCGATGCTCATGATATTAATCACTGGATTGTCTGGTCTAGACTCGATTGTTTACAGACCACCACCCTATAGCTGGAATATTGCTGTGTTTGGTTTCTTAGTTGTGACTAAAGCTGCGAAGTTGTTTAACGCCGCACTCAGCAATATTCCAGCTATATGACGGCTGTCTGTAAATATAATCGAGTCTGGACCAGAAAATCCAGTGATTAATATCATGAGCATCGATCCATGCAATTGTTTTGTTTGTTTGTTGTTTAACACCGCACTCAGCAATATCCCAGCTATATGACGGCGGTCTTTAAAATAATAGAGTATGGACCAGACAATCCAGTGATTGACATGAGCATCGATCCACGCAATTGGGATCGATTACATGTATCAACCAAGTCAGCGAGCCTGACCACCCGATCCCGTTAGTCGCCTTTTACGACAAGCATAGTCGCCTTTTGTGATACGATGACATGCATCAACCAAGTCAGCGCGCCTGACCACCCGATCCCGTTAGTCGCCTTTTACGACAAGCATAGTCACCTTTTACGGCAAGCATTGGTTGCTGAAGACCTTTTCTACCCAGGAATCTTCAACATGTTGATTCATTTAATCTTTTTTACAATTTGTGTCACAGGGCTCTTTCCAGTCCTGACCATTCTTTTCAACTGCTTCTGATAATTTTCAAATGGAAATGATGCACACCTGCCAAGGCTACCAAATTCCTTGACATGTGTATCAAGGTGTATGAGGCTATGGACATTGTACACTACAACATCTGGTCCATACAGTTGACGGCCTTGTGCAAGGAAGAACTCTAATAGTTTTTGTGCCTAATTAAAGTAAGCGCCATTTCCTGACAACCTGGGACTGACAAGGATGGCAAAGGCAACGTTGAGGACCATGAAATAAAGAAATCCTTTCAGAACGACTTCTACGGTATACAGAAGGAACTGTGTATATTCTGTTGTCTTCCACCTTTCAACTTCCATCAAACTTCTTGGTTTAGGGACAAAACACCTTGGCACATGTTTTCTGATGTGCAGCAGTTTTTTCACTTATTTCTGAAACTTGATTGGCAGACATTTTTACTTGTTTCTGACCTTTCATTCATATCAGTGTTAGTTTTTTGACTACACTCAAGCAGACTTGGTGCATGTAGTCAATAGGAAACTGTTTGATCATGTAGGCAGATCATAAAATGGTGATACTTTATGGTGATGCTCTGGTTGGGACTGGCTCCTAAATGACTGATCAGTTCGCATTTCATTGTTACTCGCACTTTGGTAAGTCATTCTCCCAAACCAAACACCTATGTGTGTGCATTTGTCGCAGCCATTGTAACCAGAGTATAGCTACGTTCCTATTACTATGTCTCCAGCTGGGGCATCACAAATTACATACGACCCGTGAAGATCCGGGGTAGAATAGAAAAAGCAACCCCTTCTTGACGTAAGAGGCGACTAACGGGATCGGGTGGTCAGGCTCGCTGACTTGGTTGAAGCATGCCATGGATTCCAATTGCGTGGATCGATGCGCATGATATCAATCACTGGATTGTCTGGTCAAGACTTGATTATTTACAGACCGCAGTCATATAGCTGGAATATTGATGAGTGCGGCGTAAAACAACAAACCCACAACCAACAACCCACAACCCATAATTGCACTCCGCAATATTCCAGCTATATGACGGCGGACTGTAAATAATCTAGTCTGGACCAGACTATCCAGTGATTGACATCATGAACATCGAGTTATAAAACTGGGATACGATGACACGCATCAAACAAGTCCCGTTAGTCGCCTCTTACGACAAGCATTACGGGACCCGTGAAGATTCCGGGGTAGAATAGGTCTTCAGCAACCCATGTTTGCCGTAAAGGGTGACTATGCTTGTCGTAAAAGGCGACTAACGGGATCGGGTGGTCAGGCTCGCTGACTTGGTTGATGCATGTCATCGATCCCAATTGCGTGGATCGATGCTCATGATATTAATCACTGGATTGTCTGGTCCAGACTCGATTATTTAGAGACTGCCGTCATATAGCTGGAATATTGCGGAGTGCGGCGTTAAACAAACCAACAACCTTTTTACGGCAAGCATGGGTTGCTGAAGACCTATTCTACACCAGATCTTCACGGGTCCAGTAACATGTCTGGCACACAACTGGGTTTATATATAAACCCAAGGGCATGAACACCATTATCATCATCACAATCTTTCTCTTCATCGTCACTGCAGTAAATACTATTTAATCCTCTGAGCAGCGGGGCGGTTGGGAAGCCTAGTGGTTAAAGCGTTCGCTCGTCATGCCGAAGACCCGGGTTCAATTCCCGACATGGGTACTATGTGTGAAGCCCATTTCTGGTGTCCCCCGCTGTGATATTGCTTGAATATTGCTAACAGCGGCGTTAAACCATACTCACTTGTCGGAATCGTACAATCGACTCTGCTCTTGGCTGTGATTTCAGATGAATATGGGATGATTTTGTCGCTGTTTTTAAAAGTACAACTGTTCTTTCATACAACCTCTTCAGAATCAGTATTACTTGAACATACACACGCAGACTTTCAGATGTGTTTCTTGCTGCATTTGCTTCAATCTCAGATGCATCTATCATGAACCTGTTTGTTTTCCATAAAATATTATTCTTCATGATGACGTAGAGTATTTCCCCG